AATTCTAATTTTTTTAATACCCAGCATTTTAACAAGTATCATAAACGGAGTGGAACAAATTTTATTTCGATTCCGTAAATTTTTCTTCACCATAACATTATTAAGGAAGCGAACAAAATATAGTATCGACATCAAAAATTTAAGAAACGATAAAACAAATTGTGTTTTTAATGAAAATTTCACTATATAAATTTGGAAATGAACATGTTAAAGCCTTATTTAAATCAATTTCAAAAAACATTGGGGCATAATTTTTTTTAAAAAAAATTGCAAGGGCTACTACATCCTGGCATCTATAATTAATACTTTCAGTTCTGCATTTGCTTTCACTCACGAAATTGCAACATAAAGTTGAACGTCAGTGAATAACGACTTAGTAAAAAACAATCCAACAAATGATAATGTTTTGTCTTGGCTTTTATTAATATAGTCATAACAAAACATAAAACTATTAGAATTTGTCTTTTTTTAAACTTCAAGGGTAATCTTAGATCACTAAATTCATTCAGAGTATGTGAAGTTTCTCACTGAATTTGTTTCCTGCTACGATAGCTGCATCAATGATTTTTTTGCACAACTCTTCAATGATATGATTAACATTGTATTATTATATAATCAAGATGTTGGATCAGTGTTTTTCAATAACATAATTAGTACTCATTTCTTTAAAACTTTTTTTCGGGTTGGGATTCTCGAACATTTTTTCTTATTGCATGACTCAATTCTTAATATGTAATCCAATTGCCAATCTCGCCAACGACTACATGTGGATCAATTTAACATGAAGAAGTATTCCTTTTCATCAACATGAATAAAAGACATGATAAATTAAATTACCATATCAACAATTATAAAAAAAATCATTATTTCCAGTAGATTCGGATAAGTGAAATCTACAATACTCTTCAGGGAGAAGTCGAGTTAGAATCAAGAATTCAGGCAGGATCTCGACATCATGCCAGCAACTCCATCATTAACCGTAACTTGCTTTCCATCTCTAATTTTTATTATCCTTTAAGAAAAAATTAAATTAGTGTGTCCATGTATGCGCAGGTGGATGCAGATGAATGCAATCTCATGTTCTTAGTCAACGTGCAATCTTTACATTATGACAACCAGCTTAATGAATTAGTTAAATCACCTAAACTTTCTTTAATTTCTCAGAGCTCTTGGTAAACCAAGATGGATTTGATGGAAGCCGACCACTTCTGAGTACAACTATTTTTTCTCCAAATGGTCCATTTCAAGAGTTTTTATTAGCGATCCTCATTTTATATATTTGATGGGCTTAACTTATATCTAGATATATTCAACATCAGAAAAAAGATATCCCACCCTACATGATTGGTCATTTAATTTATCGAAGGAAACTCAAAGTAAATGAAAAAGAGAATAGAAAAAAGACTGGTTATTCACTTCAAGAAGCTAAGATGACTGGTCAGGACATACGTGATCGGTCATATAAACTGACTTTTCATAAAACAAATGAGATGAAGATCATTCTTAAATGAGACATAACCCCATCATTTCTCATAAAGCGTGGCCACTAAAACTTTCTCAATCAGGTGAGTATTCTAACCTTTGGGCAAGATTGCACATGTGACCAAAGGGGACTCACCCTGCCACTTCATAGAAGATGACATAAATAGTGAAACATAACCCGATCATTTCTCATAAAGCATGGTCACTAAAACTTTCTCAATCAGGTGAGTACTCTAACCTTTGGACAAGATTGCACATGTGACCAAAGGAGACTCACCCCGCCACTTCATAGAAGATGACATAAATAGTGAAACATAACCCGATCATTTCTCATAAAGCATGGTCACTAAAACTTTTTCAATCAGGTGAGTACTCTAACCTTTGGACAAGATTGCACATGTGACCAAAGGGGACTCACCCCGCCACTTCATAGAAGATGACATAAATAGTGAAACATAACCCGATCATTTCTCATAAAGCGTGGTCACTAAAACTTGCTCAATCAGGTGAGGGCTCTAACCTTTGGGCAAGATTGCACATGTGACTAAAGGAGGCTCACCCCGCCGCTTCGTAGAAGATGATCGACATAGATAGTGAAAAGTGTTTTGACATTAATCACGATTATTATTTATTCTTATTATTATCAATAATTATTAGACTATAGTTGATACTTCATTTGTTAATTTGTCAATGATTGTACAATAACAATCATTGACATTAACACCTCTCAACCTTGTAAATACCATGTTATAGAGGGAGAAGAGACATTCACTTTCACACACACACATACTTTTGAGATTGATTGAGAAAGAAAAATTTTCCACATGAAATCTTTCCCGACTTCGATACTTTGTTTTGTTTTACTTTACTCTTTTGTTTAAGCCACTTTAACTGATCAGGCCCCCTAACCTGGTCTTCCCTAATCAGACATACCCAATCAAATTTACACTATCACTCTCAATGTGCAATTCAGCACAATTAAAGAAAATTTATTGATCATCTTACCATATCTCATATTATTAGACTTGATTGTTTAATTTGTTGGATTAATTGTGCTTTAAGGCTCCCTTGTTCGATGGCACACGTTGACTGGTTGAGCACTCAGTTAATGCCAAAGAAATTTAGAATTTTAAATGTGTTTTCCTCCCACCACGTAATTAATATGGAGTAACAATTATGCAATGCCATTGAATGCAACATTTAACATAATCTTACCTTTCGATCTAAGAGCAGCAAAATACAAATAATTAATGTCTTTCTTTTTTAGTGTAAATAAAATAAATTCTTTCTAGTTCTACATAATCGTATACAAAATAAAAGGCTCTTTTCTCAGCTGCCAGAATTTCCATTATCTCTCTGTATATTTTTCTTTCATTCATAGTTGATGTAAGTCATTTAAGATTGGATGACAACTTTTATTTGTTATGGTTCAACTTCTCGATCAAAAAATTATTTTAAAACGTATTAAGTGAGTTGTCATCTGGGAGTGCCATGCATGCCACTCAAAATTTAATTAAAATTTATAATAAAACTTATTAAGTGGGTTGTCAACTCCTCAACCAAAATATCCATTTTTTATATACTGGCGCGCGTACTAGTCCGCTGATTTATTTTTACTCTTTTTTATGCCCTAGAAGTGGGGGACTAGTCTGCCAGTTTTGATATCAATTTTTTTAAAAACAAAGTGGAAAACAAGAGTTCTCATTTTTATACTCCATCCATTTCCTAAAATCCTTCCTCTTTCGTTTTTTTCCGATTCCCTAAAACACTTCCACTTTCTATTAAAAACCACTTTTACCCTTACTTTTTCATACCCTACATATCACATCATACTTTTTCACTAATAACCAAACTATCACATCTTACTTTTACCTATCACATTAGGGACAAAATTGGAAAGTCAATTAAAATTACACTTTCCTCATTTTGGTTGAAAATCAAAATAGGAAGTGTTTAAAGGAACGTGAGGAATATGAATTTAGGGCCTCTTATGTTTCTATATTATAAATTGGAGCGTTGACAATACACAATGTCACACCTTGGCATTGTATATGTTAACATTTTGCAATGTTTTTTGCATTCTATATTAATACCATGTGATATCATAAATCCTATTTTGGTATGAAAACACTAATAAGTTCTATTTTGATATATAAAGAATTGTGTTTTATTCCTCGTTAGCTCTCACAATAGCCTCTATTAAGCACATGACAATATGACATGGCACGATTAATACAAAATTAAGTGCGGTCAATCTCGAGAAATTTTTTCCAAACAAATTAAACAAAAAATGATTAGTTAGCAACAATTCAGTGATAAGCGAAAATCTCTCTTACCTTTTTTCCATTTCTTATAGTATTTTTGTCGGTGATTATTCGTATAGTTTTGAATTTTTGTTTAGTTTATATAACTTATAATTTTTATTTAATTATAAATTAAATGTTAATCATAATTGATTTCGAAAAAAATTAAACTTGGACAAATAGTGTGTAACGGAGTATTATTTTTTGTCATAATAAGAAGCTCAGGAGTTACACAAAGTTCCTGCAATCATATGCCGCGTGGATTGCATGTAAAATCAACGGCTGTCATTACCCCTAATGGTTTTTAATGCGTCATTACAAGCCTTGTAATAAGCCATATAGGGAGTAGTATTTATTTGTCCAAATAAAGCCATATATGCCTATTTTCTAGTTTCTTCCAAGTAGAGAGATATATAGTCTCCTCTCTAATCATAATAACATTTCCCTAATTCCCCCTCTTCTTTTTTAGACCCTTCATTTTCTATGGAGAAAAGTGGTGGTGGTGGTGGCGGTGGTGGCGGTGGTGGCGGAGACGGTGGTGGAGGAAGGGAAAGCTTTGGGTATGAGAATTTCCACAATTATCACCCTTCTCCATTTCAACAAAACTTTCCATTGACACCCTTAGACAGGTTCTTGTGGGGTCATCAACAAACCCTACTAAGTAATGTTGAGAATGAAGAAGAAACCTCTCATTTCCCAACAAAAAATGGGGTTTATTATAATGGTGATGACCTTCCATGTCCTTTCAATGGCCATGCACCATCCACCCATAATGGGGTTTCATGGCCTAGCCTACCGGAGGCGAGCTTCGTGGACGCTTTTCATCAACGGAGAAGCATTAGAGAAGAACTAGGATCGACGATCTTCATGAAAAACGGCAGTACTAAAGAGTCTCGAGAAAATAAAGTTGTCAGACATCCTGAATACCTTGTTTCCTCTCCATCCACTGTCCTCATCAAGGGTCAGTGGAGTGAAGAAGAAGATAGGTAATACAAATTAAGAATGTTGAACCTATCATAAACCAACAATAATATAATTTATCACTTAATATAAGACTCTATATTTGAGTGACTATGTGTGTATATTACTACCTATACAAGTATAATGATAAGCATATTACGAATAAAATAACTAAATAAAAATTTCCCGAGACATATATAAAATCGTACTTAAATGTTAATCGTGCGATTTTCTTATTTGGGATTTGAACTGAAGGAGGTTGATTATGCTCGTGAGGCAATACGGGGCGACAAAATGGGCGCAGATCGCGGAGAACATGGTCGGTCGAGCTGGGAAGCAATGTCGTGAGAGGTGGCACAACCATCTTCGTCCCGATATTAAGGTTTGATTATTATTTCTAACTTAATACGGAATAATATATACTTCCTCCGTTCTATAAAAGTGTTCCTATTTTGACTTTGTGTGAAAATAAGGAAGTGTTAAATTGTAGTTGACTTCCAATTTTACCCTTGATGTGATGGGTAAAAATAAGATGTGATGGATTGAGTATTAGAGTATGAAAAAGGGTAAAAGTAGTTTTTTAATAGAAAGTGGAAGTGTTTTGTTGGAAGTAAAAAAAATGAAAGAGGAAGAATTTTTGAGAACGGAAGGAGTATTTTTTAAGGATACAACTATGCAAGTATATAATAACTTTAACTAAATTTCCTAATAAGTTCTTTGGGTTGATGTAATTAGATTTTGTTTGTTTTTACAGATTAGTTAAGGTTCATTTCTTTCGTGGGAGGGGACATCATTAGGAATGAATTGAAGCAACTCACTGTTTTTGACTTTTTGTGTGTTTTTAAAATTCCAAGATTTTCATTCTATGCCCTAAAGTGCTATATTTAGGGTTTTGGCTGTCATACCACCAAAACAAACTTTGGCATCTTTTTCAATGTACTCTTTAACTACAACTAGAGCTAGAGTTTGATGAGTGAAGTTTGATAACTAAGTTTGGAGACTAGATTTGGACTCACTATCTCCCTGTCTAATTTTAACTCTAATTTTTATATTCAAAATTAATAAACTTTGATTATTATTAAAATAAAATTTATATTTACAAGAATAACGTTATTAGATTTAACTTGTAAATTATTTTCAAAATATTAATTTATATAATTAACATGCATTTCATGTAACTTTTATTTAATTCTTGGTTAAAAATCATATCGATTTTAGTTGATTGCAAAAAAGTCAAAATTGGAAAACTACTCATGGACAGACAGAGTAATATTTATATTACTTTATACTTTTTTAATTTCTATGAAATCAAATTGACCAATTTTGGACCTATTTGGGAATAGCGTTAGCGTTTTGAAAAGACTATCTACAGGCAGCGTTTTCAAAGTAATTTACACCGTTAAAATTTTATCCTAAACGCTAACAATAATCTCTTACGCTATTATTATTAAAATTATTACTTCTTTCCTACAATATCGTCATACGGAGTACTATTATTAAAAGTCAAGATAACTTTTGTTAACGTATGTATTTACGTTGAATATTTGATAAAATAAAATACATATGTCACTTCTAGCTTTGTAAATATTTGGTGTAATTTTTATATAAGTAAGTTGTACTTTTTTTATCTATATCATTTTGTAACTAAAACTACTTTAAAAGAGATTAAATTTTACATGTTTTTTGAAAGAGGACGATAAGTTGGCGATTATTTATTATTATTGTTGTTGTTGTTGTTCTTGTTATTATTATTATGGTTATTATTATTATTATCATTATCATTATCATTATTATTATGTTATAATAAGTAATGCTAAATAATGTAACATGATTTAATCGTATTGTTAAAGAACTAATTCAACCCAAATCTCAAGTTTGTGGTTGTGATCCAGAAAAGATTTTTTATATATTCTAACACGTCCTCTCACATGCAGACATGACTTTTTGAGTCTTGAACATGAAACCTTACTTTTTTCAAAATTAGGTGTTGTTGAGTTTCGAACTCCTCACATCTTCATCATCAAGGCTCTGGTACCATGTCAAGGAACCAATTCAACCCAAAGCTCAAGCTTATGGTTGTGATCCAAGAAAGATTTTTTATATATTCTAAGACATATACTAATTTTTAATTAATCATGCACAAAATATTATCATTACATTTTTAGATTGATCTAATTTAATCTCATTATATCTGACCTGATTGAATCTGATCTGTTTTTAATAAGCAAAAGTAATAAGTTGGAAAAAAAGAGAGCTCCCTAAATAGGAGCAAGAGATAATTAAACTACCAAAATTGAAGTATCACTCTTTCTGGCTTGGTTCCCATGACATTGGGAGTCGGGTGCCATGGGATGACTCAGGGGTCATACGATGGTCCGTTTGAAAAATTGACGGTTTCAAACCTCTCTGGTAAATCTCCCCACTCCTCAGTCCAGCCTAACCCGAACCCAACCCCCATCCCCTCAACTAAAACCCAAATTTCGTTGATTTTGGAATAAAATTTTGACTCCAGAGTCTACCAAATTTAGAAGGTGCAATTAAAGGGGGGTGGAAGTGGGCTCGGGTTGGGCCGAGAGAGGGAGGGGGGTTAGAGAGGTAAGAACGGTCAATTTTATGATTTTGAGTTTTTTACTTTTTTATTAGTAAAAAAGTATGATGTGATAGGTAGGGTATGAAAAAGTAAGGGGTAAAGGGATTTTTTAAGGGAAAAAAGAAGTTTATTTGGGGACAAAGAAAAAACGAAAGGATAAATTTATTTAGGGACGGAGTAAGTATTATCTATGCGTGTCTATGCAATAAAAAAGGTCAAGATGGGTTTAAAATGTGGAGTTACCCATGCTTTATTGGTAGTTATATTTTTCTTACATTCCAAAAATATTTTAGTTTCATTTCACATAGTTTGGAAAGGTTAAATTTTTAGGGGAAAAAACTAAACTAAGAATAAAAAAGGGAAAAAACATCAAAATGGAATGTCGATAACTAATTTTTGTATGCATGTTTTTGTTGATAATTTGATAACTATATATTCTTGTGAACTCTTATTTTGTATCGAGTAGCGTTTTTGATTTGGTTTTAAGGATATAATTTATACTCATATGTTTTGTTTTTATATCAATTTGTAAATAAAATTATTTAAAAATAAGAGATTTTGCAGGCTCTTTCAAATAGAAAAATATATTGGGACATGTGAAGTTTAAAATATCTCAACTCCATGTTTTCAAGCTTTCTTTAATGTCTTTAGCCTTGTTTGGAAATTTTTTTAGCCTTTTGGATAAGTATATCTTAAATGTGCATATTAGTTTTAAAAATGTTACTTCGTAAAAGCAAACAGTATCATTAAAGGCATATTCTATAGTGGATCTAAGGTCTACCATGGATCTACATATGAATGAACAAAATAAGCATCTCTTTACTACTTAAATGAACATTTATTTTTTAATAATAAAATAAAAAAAAATGAATGTGAGAAGGTCCACCGAACTAATATGCACCCAAGGTGCACCATAGAAGCACTCATCATTAAATAATTCACATTTTCAAAAAAAAAAACTAATAATTTAAGCCTTTGATCGGTTGCCAAGCTGACACTTACTTTAATACTATCTCTAGCCCATAAAGGCTCCGTTTGGCATCATTGTTAGAGGTAAATGTTTGCGTTTTGGAAATGCTATCTAACGGTAGCTTTTAGCTTTGCGTTTTCAGAGTTAATCTATTGTTAGAATATAAATAACTCTTCCTGAGCCACAACCACAAGCTTGAGCTTTTGGTTGAGTTGGTTCCTTGACATGGTATCGGAGCCTTGTTGACTAAGAGGTCACGAGTTCAAAACTCAGCGCCACCCAGTTTTAAGAAAAGTAAAGTTTCACATGCAAGCTTCGAAAAAGTCTACGCCTGCACGTGAGGGGCGTGTTAGAATATAAATAACTCTTCATGGGCCACAACCACAAGCTTGAACTTTTTGGTTGAGTTGGTTCCTTGATATCTACACCGTTAAAATTTTATTCAAAACGCTAATACTAATTGAAAACGCTCTTTCCAAACAAGGCCAAAGTTTCATACTCCGTATTTTCTTATTTGTTTGTCCTTATAAAATGTTTTACTTTTTTCATTTTTGAGAAAAGAAATGTGGCCCTTAAAATTTCTTCTCCTTTACTTTATTTTCTACTATAAAATTTTACTTTTGTTAATCTCGACGTCAAGTCAAAGATAAAATCTTTTTATGAAACAAAGGGATTATCATTTTCAGTGATATGTTTTAAAGGTGATTGAAAATTGTGCATTTAGAAAGATGGATGGAGTGAAGAAGAAGAGAGGATGCTGGTAGAAGCCCACCAAAAGCTCGGCAACAAGTGGGCCGAGATCGCCAAACGCATACCCGGAAGGCCCGAAAATGCAATCAAGAATCACTGGAATGCCACCAAAAGGCGGCAGAATTCGCGCAGAAAGGGCGCGAAGAATGCCAACAAAAATAATCCAAGCCCCAACAAGTTATCCACCGTTCTTCAAGACTACATTAGGGCCAAGTGCCTCGGCACGGCTGGAGTCGCCGTGCCCGAGGACGACCCGTCATCTGTCCACTTCGCGTCGGACGAGGACGACGAATTGGACTGCAACGAGTCGTCCTCGTTGTTGGCGACTGAGCAGACGCACGTCGAGGAGATGAACTTCATGGAAACCCTATTTGGGAAAACCGCACCTCCCGACAATGACCACAAGATTGCGGGTGGTTTGACGCCAATGCCGGTGTTTGGTGACTCGATCATCGCTACGCCGCCATCACCACCGCCGCAAGCTAGCCAGTTCTGGAGTCACGACAACAACTACATCTCGTATTTGTTGGATGGGGGCACGCCACCTTCGTCGTCGTCGTCCAATGGCGACGGTTGCTATGAAGGGCGCAAAGTCCGGGACACAGACCGATTTACGATGATGAAGTATTGCAATGGCGGCGAATTATCGCCGCCATCCTCCTCAAGTGGCGCCGGGGCTTATAAGAACAAGGATATTGACTTGATGGAGTTGGTCTTTCCTTCTCATTTCTCCTAATAAGTACCAACAACTTCAATTCCTATTTTATTATGTGACGCACTTCTTGTATGTTTTATTATGTTGTTAATTTCTATGAATTACTAAGTTAAACTGAGTGGGAAAGCCTAATATGAATACACTTGTGTTTCATGAGCACTCGTTTTGAATGGTCTCAGAAGACACGGTCTTAATTGAGATACTTACGATGTTTCGTTCGCAATATATATAGTTTCTACCCCCATAACTTTCAGTCTCCCCTGGTAAACCTCTCCACATTAAGTCCAGACACCTATCCATATTTTTAACCACGTCAATTACAAGGTGCAAGTTTATGTGAGTTTGGAGTCAATTCTTTTTACCACAAAGTCAACTAAACTTGTAACCTGCAATTGACGTGAGTAGGAGTAGGTTAGGGACGGGATTAGGTGGGAGGGTTAACGAGAAGTAATGTAGGAACTATCAATTTTGCGAACAGAGCAATGTATACGTCTAGTGTCCTCCGTGACTGCTCAAACAGAGTGGCCATAGAACCGAACCCATATAACTATATATACTCCCTTTATCTCTCTTTTTTATAACTTTTTTAAATTTCTCTATTTAATCTTCACACGTACTAAAAAAAAGTTTGGTATACATGAAGAGGATTTTACTTAAATAGCACTTAAACATAATGACTTTTTCTAAATAGCATCACATGTGTTTTTTTCCCAATGTAGTACTTTTAGTCATTATGCATTAGTCATTATTCAAGCAAATAATCACCATCACTGGACATTATGGACATTATTAAGTGCTATTTAGGGAAAAAACAGTTTAAGTGTTATTTAGGGAAATGACTTAAGTTTTAGTTCTATTTAGTGTAAAAATTTCATACATGAATTCTATCTCTTCTATCCAATTGCCAACCTTACAAGTTTACCTCTTTTAAGCTCCGCCTAAAACATAACTTGTGGCTGTTGGGCCGACCCCAAAACGTGTCCCCAACAAGGGAATGGGAAGCCATGTGACCGATGAGGATGATGTGGGCCCGCCTAAACCAGACTCTTGTCCAGAAAGTCTGATGTTTGTGCGCCCAATCAAAGTTGGGCTTTTGCCGTGACAAATAAAAGATGGGCTTTTGCTTTAATTAGGCCCTCCAAGCCCATTATAACGTGACTAGATCTAAACTCTAATCGTCGTATTTGTCCCGCTTTTACCGTTTTTGGTCATACATTCCCTCAAAATAGTGACTGGAAATGTGTTTCAAAAATAGAAACAATAATTGAATAAACTTTAATCGTTAATTAAATAAGAATTAATATGTAAATTGTATATATTGATATGTAATACAATTTTATGTAAAAATGATTCCATTAGCGTATCTCTATTGGTGATGTTTAAAAGATGTTAAAATTATGGATAGATAGAAGATATCATATAATGGATTGTGAGTGTTTGATTATGTGGAGACAGAAGATTAAACACTCATTCCATTAGAAGCATTTAAATTGAGACTTATTAGTTTAAATATTTATTTTATTTATTTAAAATATTGAATTTGTAATATATTTTTTCAAAATATTTAATTATTTTATTTAATTAAAATGTTTAATTGTTAGCATTTAATTTCAAAATATTTAAATATTTTATTTAATTAAAGTACTATTGCAATTTTCTTCTCTAATTTTGTTCTTCTAAATATAAATTCATAAACTTTCTAAATATTTAATTTTATATTTTTCATGTTATTTTTATTTAAAATAAATAATAAAATAGAGTAAATTGGGACATATAAATAATTAATTAAGCAGATGGATGAATGAAATTGTGGGAATTTATTTAAAAAGTAAGATATTTAAAAAAAAATGGAGAAGCGATTTTGATGAGAGAGAGTGATTGGATAGATAAATTTTAACATAAGAGACACAGATATTCTTAGATTTATTTTAGAAAAATATAAAAAGAAATTATTTATTGCATATATTAACATGTAATGCAATATTTATATAATTGTTGATTAAAATTAATCTAATTTAATTCAAAAAAGTTAAATTCGATTAATATTTTAGAATTTTTTATTTTTTTAAATTTATTGCCAAAATCAATTTTTTTTCCTTGAAAACTTGAAACAAGCTTTCGAATCATGCTGGACAGCACCCAGATTTGAGATTCTCTCTAAAAGAACACCTATACATTGGGATAGCCATTAGGTTAATGATGACAAGCTTTCCATAATGGAGTAATTTCCCATTTCACTGTTTTTTCTTGACTGGGGATTACTGAATAATGAAAACACAGCAATTAGGTTTTCAAAACAAAATCAAAACACAGTAATTAGTAAAAGTAATGACAAGTTTAATGAATGGGGAGTACAATATTTTGAAGAGTTTCTTCCCAAATCTAGAGCCAACAAGAAGGATTGTTATCAGAAACAAATCGAATTCGCGATAAAGGTGAAATGAAGTTGGAGCTCAATTTCTACATCTTGAGGTAAATTCTTACAGATTGGACAACTTTGAAGGCGAGATACACGGCGGCGGTGGAAGAAATCACGAGGAAAATCGCGGAGGCGATGGCGGTTTTGCGCAGGCTCCGGCGCACCGGACAGATGGACTTGTTCACGCAGTTCACCAGTAGCACAATCGCGAGGCTGATTGCGAAGCACACTACCGCCAGCAGCACCGCCGAGCACGCCGTCGCCGATATAGAGACCTTCTCCGCTGCGCCGCCGCGAGTGTTTCCGCCGTCGCCGGCCGCGTCTTCCTCCAGGCGGATTCCGTCCAAATCCGCAGCCGCGCTAAAAGTTCTATCGATTCCGTCCTTGTATGGGCTTCTTCTTCCTTCTGGCATTTTTTCTGGGGATTGATGGATTTTAGGAGCGAGAAACTTAACTAATTTCATGGATTCCGGTAATCGATCCTCGCGTGCCCGTGGTTATTGTTAAGGAGATTTGTTTCCCCCTTTGTTAAAAGAAAGACGTAATTACAACAAGTACTTTAATTAATCATTGCCTTTAACATTTCGCAAGAAATTGGAAATATACAAATACGCACTTCTAGCTACAATGGCCACGTCTAGCAAAAGCATTTCCTACGCACTTCTAGATGCTATTTCAAAGAAAGTTGCGCACATGACTATAGGTGGAGAAGACCAAAGACATTTGAATTCAAAAGATTGATCGGGATAAATTGTGATTGGATCCAAAAAGATTGAGACTAAATTGGTTCCTGGGATCGATCCGACATTGGACCCTGACGAGTAGTCTAATTTGATCTTCTAAATTGGGGGGAGGACTAGACCCGTCTCGGACCGATGGTCATTTCTAAAAATACTACCCCGGGACCAGGTTTGGACTAGTCTCATAATATAACATTATAATATAACTTTTACATAAGTATTTCTATTTTTTAACATGTTATTTAAGTAGAAATACATTTATCTTATTAATACTGTATATAACTTAATACTTCATATTCTTTATTAATTTAAAAATATGCCATAACAAATTCAAACGTACAAGTTTATGCTCGAAAAAACAAAAAATTGCTGCCAGGTACCCCTAGTTTTGTGGTAAGAACTACCGGGTACCCTCAATTTTGAAAATATACTCCCAGGTACCTTGAATTATAAAAAACATACCAGGAGGAGATTTTCCATCCATCCTCCATCCATTCAAGTTTGTGTCCGTTAACTTCATCATCATCATCCACCATCTCCATCTTTAATTCTTCGATCTTCCTCCTCCTACTCTTCTTTTTCTTTTTCTTTTTCTTCTTCTTTCTTCTTCTCCTTCTCCACCTCCTTCCACTCTTGATCTTCCAAACCCCCAACCCCTCACCCTTATTTCTTCTTCTTCTCTTTCTATTATTATTATTATTATTATTATTATTATTATTAGTATTATTATTATTATTATCTTATTATTATTAGTATTACTATTACTATTATTATTAAAAATAATAGTAAAACTATTATTTAGTTTTTATATTAATAAAAGAAGAATAAGAAAATATTACTTCATAATAATAATAAATAATAGAGGTAAAAGAAAATTATACTCGTACTTTGTAATAAATAAATAATACACCATCCATTCCATAAAATTCTTCCCCTTTCGTTTTTTTCCAATTCCCTAGAACACTTTCAATTTCTATTAAAAAACCACTTTTACCCTACTTTTTCATACCATAGCTATCACATCATACTTTTTCACTAATAACCAAACTATCACATCTTACTTTTACTCATCACATTAAGGGCAAAATTGGAAAGTCAATCAAAATTATACGTACTCTCCTTATAATAATAATAACAATAATAATAATAATAATAGTAATAATAATACTCCGTAATAATAATAATAATAATAATAATAATAATAATACTCTTCCTGTCCCAAATTATAATACATGTTCACTATTCACAGAGTCAAACTTCCTTCACTTTCTTTCTTTATTTTCGTTAGCAATTTGATAAAATAAAGTACTATTGTCACTACTAGTTTTGTAGATATTTTAATGTAGTATTTTAATATGTAATTTTTATTTTTTAACTATAGATCATTTGTCATATAAAATGATTTGAAAATAATTTCAGTCAAACATCGTAAACTAAAACAGGCATTATAAAATGGGACGAAGGGAGTAATAATAATAATAATAATAATAATAATAATAATAATAATAATAATAATAATAATAATAATAATAATAATAATAATAATAATAATAATAATAATAATAATAATAATAATAATAGAAAGAGAAGAAGAAGAAATAAGGGTGAGGGGTTGGGGGTTTGGAAGATCAAGAGTGGGAGGAGGAGGAGGAGAAGAAGAAAGAAGAAAGAAGAAAGAAGAAGAAGAAGAAGAAGAAGAAGAAGAAAAAGAAAAAGAAAAAGAAGAAGAGGGGGAGGAAGACCGAAGAAGATGGAGATGGTGGTGAATGATGATGATGATGATGAACTTGACGGAAAAACACAAATGGAAGGAGAATGGATGGAAAATCCCCTCCTAGTATGTTTTTTTATAATTCAGGGTACCTACGAGTATATTTTCAAAATTGGGGGTACCCGGTAGTTCTTACTACAAAACTGGAGGTACCTGGCAGCAATTATTTGCTCGAAAAAATATTTTTTATTTGTTGCATCTAATATATATCCTAGAAAAATACCTTTATGTTGCATAAATACTTTATAAAAATCAACAGGTAGTAATTGAAGAAATTAGATGAAAAAAGAAGTAATATTTAAATTTTGTAGTTCTCTAAAAAACTAAAAATTAACATTTTAAAAAGTATATAAAACAGTGACAGTATCGGACTAAGACCGGATCTAGCTGAACTACATGGTCCCAAAAGGTTGTATATTTTTTTAACAATGACCGATCTGGATTGGTTTTTCAAAAAGATCGGGTCGATCGCATCTTAAATAATACTAGTATTTCTAAGAGACTAATCTTGTCCGACCGGTGTGGTCCTTTTGATCATCTCTAACCATAACTCAACTGCCAAAGACAACCGATGAGGCGATGAGCCTTTTTGACAACCTACAGGTGAGAGAATGGATTTTGGAGATGATTATTTGATTTCAACTTTTTCTAGGTGAAATTAGTCGTGACAAAAATCTTGTTGTCCCTCACATAAGGGTGTGGGACCCTTTAGGACGAGGATTCCACCTTATTTTTCTTATAGAAAACTTCAAGAATTTGGATATATAGGACACTTTTAGTTGGAGATTTGAGAGTAGCATCTCTAAAATGTTTAATACACAATATGAAATGATAAAAAGATAATAGATTTTATTTTAATCTTTCGCTTGTTGATATTATGAGGTTTTAGTTTAGGTGAAAGATTTCAATTTGAGTAAAACATATGGAAATTGCAAAAATATGACATTCATTTTTTATATCAGAATAAGAATTACAATGCGAGTAATGTCAATATATAATACCAAAAATACTAAAAAATATCAATATACAATGCTACATTGTCATAATATAAAACACTATTTTGAAGATAAAAATATGTCACTCTTATTGATGATAAAGATTATATTCTACTCATATTTTATGTGATACTTTTTCAATTTCATAAATAACGAACTACAATATAATCAACTTTAAGTTTTAGTGTCAAATAAATGATATAACAATCGATAAAGAAATTGGGAGCACCTACATAGTTTCATGTTAGGGTTTGTTCTCTTTTCTACTTTTATTATACTTACAACAACAACAACCCAGTTGAGTCCCCCAGTTGAGTCCCACTACAGTAGGGTCTGAGACTTTAATTATACTCATTCCTATTGAAATGATATCCGAAAAGCACATATCAGATAAAAAAGATATAGATTCTACAAAATTAGATAAAAAACAATTTAAGTTTTAACGAGAATTAGGTCAATTTAGAGCAAATTAGACCAAAAATATTCAGAACTGATTATAAAAATTCAAATCAGATCATACTTAATAAAATCAGATGAAAATGAATAAGCTCAGAGAAAGAGAGCATTCTATTAAAGCTCTTGGTTTTTTGTAAGTGAGTACTAACGATTTCAGAATAAGAAGAGAGCTAAAGTGTGTACACCTTAATATTTAACTCATGGCTAAAGAGACTCACTATGAGGATAATGACCATGTAAAAGCATTTAAGACCCTCTTAGCTAGCTGAACCCTGCCAAATCATTATCTAAAAAAGTTGGACTTTTGTTATAAAAAAAATTGATTTGCTCAAATTTGACTTGTTTATTAATTAAACCTTTAACATTGGTTCAAGGTTAGTTTGAGACCCAAGCGAGCTAACTCATTCGGAAATACCAAACTAATGATAAACAAACCTTTGCATGGTAGATTAACTTTGTGATACGATATCGTATCGGGATAGAAAAGAACTTCGAGCGTTCTTCAAGCTCCAAGAGAAAAAGAGACGAGAAGAGGGAGAGATCCGCGAATCTTTGTTCAGCGGAAGAGAAGAACGAGAGATAAGAGGAAGAGATTTGGAATTAGGAAAATGATTATTCTTTATTGATTTAATTCTAAAGCAATACATCTCAATATATGGAGTGAAACTCTAAAAGCCTAAGGAAGTCCAATCTCTAAAAGGAAACTAAATAAAATAAGAAACTAATTAATAACCTAACAAAACTAATATTCTCTAATAATAATTAACTAACCATATATAATACCTTACCTATACTAATAATAATAATAATAATAATAATAATAATAATAATAATAATGGTCCCGTAACACTTTGTCCCCTTTTCTTAGAGGTAAATAGTTCAACGGTCCTCAGATGCATTTTCAATTATATTGACTTTTCTGATGTGGACCTCACTCCCTCCTCAATCAACTCTTCCCATGATCACCCGCGCTAAGCATGTCATTTTCAAACCAAAATTGTATGCCCTTACCTCCCTTTCTTTCCTCTTGTCACTGAGCCTAATACATATAAAGAGGTGTCCCAGAATGAGTTCTAGTGTCGAGCCATAGATGAGGCATATTCAGCCTTGATGGAAAAGAACACATGGGATTTTGTTCCCAAACCTAAGGGTCGATCTTCGATTGGTGTAAGTGAGTATACAAAATTAACACTACGTCAAAAACAGAGGCTGACAACTGTTTATTTTAGTAGTCTATAATTGATGTTTTCAGTAGTCTTCCGAGCAGCTGTCTGATGGGATGTTAGACCTCGGTTTAGAACAATTGTGCAAATCAAAATCTGACAACGGTGTTTTGAAGCTTAACACAACTTTGAACATTTGTTGTCTGCTCGCGATTGAGTCTACGATTTTGGATATACTCAGACAACAGTTTTATTGTGTTGTATATAGAAGTTCAGACAACTACTTAAAAACAACTGTCTTAATTAGTTGTACATAGACTATTACGACAATGGTTTATTGTAGTTGAGATTGATGCGGTTACACTATGTTTTCCAGGTGTAGTCTAATGTTCTATTAGACAGCTGCTCGGAAGACTACTATAAGTAATTCCATCAAACCTCTGCTACCTTCTGTTGTATGTACAACGTTGAGACTATTTCTTTGGTCTTACCTTAAACAACTTTTTTTTTGGTTGTATGCCGTCTATTAACACTCCAGTTTATGTTCGTTGTGCTTTAAACATTGACACTATACTTCCAAACAGTAGTT